CTTTGTTCCAGACTCTATCCTTCAAATATTTGAAAGCCCCGTTTTTGCTGCTCCCTACATCCGTAGGCATGCCCAAGTACTTCTCTGATAGACTCTCATTATGAACATTCAAGGTAGTTTTCATGCTCTCTTTAACACCCTGCGAGCAGCCTTTGCTAAAAAACACTGAAGATTTGTCCAAGTTTATTTTCTGTCCAGAAGCATTACAGTATGATTCCAACAAAGAGGATACCTGAATAGCTCCCTCAACACTAGCCTTGACGAACAGCAGGCTGTCATCTGTGAAAAGAAGGTGGCTTACCGGCGGAGCCGTATCTGCCACTCTGATCCCATGCACTGGAGATGACTCTATCTGTTTTTTTAAAAGGCTCGAAAGGCCCTCTGCTGCCAACAAGAATAGGTAAGGTGATATTGGATCCCCCTGTCGGAGTCCTCGTGAAGGTGTAAATTTCTCAAGTCTTTTTCCATTGAACATAACCGAGAATTTGACTGAACATACCATCCTCATAACTGAGTTGACCCAAGCCGGTGCAAAACCCAGTTTGGACATGATAGCACGGAGGTAGTCCCACTCCAAACGGTCGTAGGCCTTCATCATGTCAAGTTTAAGGGCACAAAACCCATTCCTCTTCATAAAATTTAAACACTCATACGCGGAGATGATATTATCCGTGATAAGCCTTCCCGCCACAAAGGCCGATTGCTCCTCCGATATGATCATAGGAAGGATGGTCTTGAGCCTGTTTGCCATAACCTTCGATGCAATCTTATAGAGTACATTACATAGACTTATAGGGCGAAACTGTGACAGAAGTGTGGGATTTGTTACCTTGGGGATGAGGACGAGGATAGTATCATTCAGCTCCTCCACATCTTCCTCACCCCTCAGGATTTTCAAGATGATAGTAGCCACTTCATCCCCGCAGAGCTCCCAATTTCTCTGGAAAAAATGCGCAGGGAACCCATCAGATCCTGGAGCTTTAGTAGGGGCCATCTGAAACATCGTCGTTTTAATTTCCTCTCTGCTGTACTCGCCCATCAGCCCCTGGTTCATCTCGTTTGTGACTTTGAGAGGAACCACGTCAATTACTTCATGCATATTCATTGTCCCCTCTGACGTGAACAAATTTTTGTAGAAGGCCGTGACCATGCACTCCATCTCTGTTGCATCTTCTACTGTAGTTCCATCATGTCTCAGCAGACATTTTATCTTGTTCTTAAGGCGCCGCCTGCTGGCCCGTAGGTGAAAGAACTTGGTGTTCTTATCACCCGCCGCCAGCCATGTTATTCGCGATCTCTGACGCCACATTACCTCCTCTCTGTGATAGAGCTCGATCAGGCGATCTTTTACTTTCTCTTCCTGACGAGTAGGTGCCGTCCTTGATGGGTCAGCACGCATGCTCTCTAGCTGAAGCTTTAGAGATCGAATCTCCTCCTTCACACTGCCAAACGTAGTTCGGTCCCAGTGTTTCAGATTTGTTGAGAGCGTTTTAATTTTTGCACATAGTTCCGCAACCGTGGTTGCTCCTGGGCCTTGCCAGTGTTGTTCAATTGTCGCCTGGAAACCCTCGTGAGATTCCCACATCATCTCATATCTGAAGGGTCTAGCTTGCCGTGGCTGATCATCTACCGGTGATAGTTGTAGCAATATCGGTATGTGGTCCGATGTGGTGGCAGATTTGTGAGATAAAACTGCTCCTGGATACATGCTGGACCATGATGGGGTGGCAAGTGCCCTATCAAGACGCACTCGCGTGTATGTTCCTCCGGCTACTCTCTTTTCAAACGTCTAGTTGTTTCCCGAGAAGCCTAGATCAATAAGGCCACATGTGTCAACAGCATCCCTAAAACCATTCACCTGTGTCATGCACCGATGACCAATCCCGTCATGTTCATTCAGACTCAGTACTTCATTTAAATCACCGAAACACAACCATGGCAGACCGTCATCCTCAGCGAGAGATCTCAACACGTCCCAAGTCTTGCCTCTATCACTGACTTGTGCTTCACCGTACATCACTGTGAGCCGCCATGGAGAAGCACCAGGCAAAGTAACATGAGCATCTATGTGATAAGCAGAGTAACCAAAATTTTCAATCTTTATTTCATTATTCCAAAAAATACCGAGACCACCACTCCTACCAGAGCTACTAACAGCAAATGAATTATCATAACCTAGGGTGCTTGCTAAGTTTTCCACTCTATCTCTCGGGAGTTGAGTTTCAACAATACAAAGCACCAACGGGGCAAACTGCCTCGCGAAATCGCGAAGCTCTCAAACTGTCGCGGGTTTGCCCGCCCCGCGACAGTTCCAGCATGAGAGACTCATTGGACCCGGCGGCGCTCCTCAGAGGAGCCCGCCACGCTGTCCATATTGCTTTTGTTTGGGGAACTACCTTGCTTTTGCTTCTTTCTATCCCTTGGGGTAACATAAGGTGGTGGAGGAGGAGGGACAACACTGGCCCCTTGCACAGATGCATCAAGCGAGCCACCTCTGATGCTCTCATCAGCCTGCTCATCCATGTTCAACTTGCGACTAACCGTGGTCTGTGGCCGGACGGTCCCAACATCAACGCCCTTGTCCCTGAGAGGGCTCTCAGCCGTATCTTTGAGATCATCATCACCATCTTTGTCAATTTCCTCACCTAGACCGGCGTCCTCCGATGATCGTTTCTTGGCTCCATTGTTTCTTCCGCGGCCGCCACCACGGGCACGTCCACGTCCTCGTGTGGAATTCCCCCTGTTCCAGCTCGGGTCACGGTTCTGGTTATCCGGCATGGCTCTCCTGGTTGCTTTCATCCACTCCCCGTATTCAACCTCCTCGGGGCTGTGAACCCCATCGCCGCACTCTTCCATGGAATGGCCTAGGACGCCACAGACTTCACAGAAGAAGCCTATCTTCTCATATCTTACTGGCAAGAGAATTCGCCCTTCCCCTTTGATGTTCAATGGGGCAAACCGCACCAAAGGATCAGCTATTTTAATCTTCGCCCGGACCCTAACATAGTTGCCTTCAAAGACTCGGTTAGGGTTCATCTCCACGCTCTTCACCTGACCTATGCGACGAGCCAGTTGGTCTAAAATTATCTCCTTCCTGTAGAGCTCCGGGGTATCATGAATCTGCGCCCACACATGGACTCGGTCGAGCTGAACTAGATCTGGTTTACCTTTGCCATCATACTCTTTAATTGCCACCATAAGTCCCCTATAGATCCAAGGGCCCTGTTGCATAACTCTGTTCCAATCACCTAAGCAGAAAAGTTGGATGACGAACAGATTGTTATCTGCCTCGCGGATATCTGGCTCGTGGGCAAGTCTCCATGTGAAAATCATTGTGTTCTTGAAGGACTCGGCACTGAAGTACTTCGTCGTGTTCACCCGTGCTACCGCTAGCCACCGGGACTCCTTGAACAGTTCTGCAATTTCCTCATCGCCAACGATCACGTCATCCAGCTCCGTCTCCTTCAGCTTCATGTTCCTCATCGCCGCTTCCAGGTCGATCGGAGTCTTCCCCTTCCTTCTACCTGAACTAGTACTCCCCCCTCCATTGGAAGAAGTCGCTCCTGCCATGGCTGCAGTTAACCCTAGATCGCCGCACCGCACCGAGGCCGGGTGGAAGGACAAAGCCGACCCCTTGATCAGCCCAAGCGCAGGCGTGGGATGGTTGGGATGCGCAGGCAGGTTATCCGGATCCTCGACGGCGACGAACGGCGCCGGAGTAGGAAAACCCTAGTCGCCGCGGCGGCTAGGGTAGGTATTAGTTCTTGTTTTGCCACGTTGGTGTTACCTATGTTCGGGATTTCTAGGGTAGAGGAAGTCCACTTTTGTAAGGCGACTGCTATTCCCTACGCCTGAATTAATAGCCAGTTTGTTAATCGATGAAAATTAATTTCAAGCAGTTAAGAGAAAGTTGTGGTCTGATTGGGCCATGGCCCATGCGCCATGCAACCAATATTTGCGTGTTTGGGCAGCAATGCATGCAGGAGCATTGATGGATGCGAGGAGGTTTGAGAATTAATTTACGGTAGTAAAAACCATTCAATCCTGGTCACTAATTGGGCAGATTCAAAACAAAAAAGTCGGCCTTGATGTGCCTTGGTTTTGGCAATACTGGGGTAGGCACAATAAATCCGGACAATGTAATTCTTAAGCTTGTACGTTCATAATTTTTCATAGACACTAATCATCTCAACCGGTTAGCCACTCACACTCACATGCAAGAGGTCCATGGTTTGATTCCTAGTATGTGCATGTACTTATTTTGTGATTTTTTACCTCCCGTGAACGGCCACAATCTCTAGTCTTTACATCGGTCACTAATGGGCCGGCCCAGTAGGCGTACAGTGTATACACTGGTGGACGTATTTGAAAAAATCAACCGCTCAAAAAAAAAAACCATCCTACCCTTTCTTCGGCCACAGTCTCTAGTCTTTACATCGGTCACTAATGGGCCGGCCCAGTAGGCGTACAGCGTATACACTGGTGGACGCATTTAAAAAAATCAACCGCTCAAAAAAAAGACCATCCTACCCTTTCTTATGAAGGGGTATACACTGATACACTGATTCACTTCCGCTTCGGTATAACCCCGCTTCGGTATACACTGATTCACTTCCTCCGTCGATGTGTTCAGAGGGGTTATACCGAAGCGGAAGTGAATCCCCTATTTCTCCTCCCATGCTACCCATTGCCTAGATCCAATAAGCAATATGAACTGAATTGCAAGGGAAAAAAAATGCTTTCATCATGCAACCATGAGATAGCTCGCAACTTGCTCTCGCCTTAATTAGTTCATTTACATGAAAATTAACAGTTAAATTATGTGTCAGAAGCTTCCGTATTCTGAAGAAGTGACGGATGAACAAATCAAGGCATGCAATCTGCAAATATATAGAGGATGCAAAGAAAATAGAGAATCGAAGATAGTAAAAATGTATTGGATGCACAATAACACTTTTGCATTAATGGTACAGTATACTGCGTGCAGTTGACATACATACCTACGATGATCTTTGCTCCGAGAGTTAATTGCACAGAAGTACCACAATTCGGGCATCACATGCAGATTGGTACCACGATTGCTAATTTTTGCGTGTCAGTACCAACATTCGTTCAAATTTTTGCAAATCAGGCTAAAACGCGTATTTATACGTATTGACAGTGTATCTGACAGTTGGGGCCCGTCTGTCAGGTGCCGACTTGGCATATTTTTTGCAAAAAACCCCCTTGCTTTATACGTAATCACATAAATACCCGTTATTTTTGCGGAAAAAATGTTAACCGTGAGAGAATTTTTTTTGCTCGGACTTGTTCGAAAGTTTTCAACGAACTGGACAAATAAATAAAGTAAACGAAAAATCGCGCGCGCCAGGTTTCGAACCGGCGACCTGCGGCACGCGTGCGGATCGCGCTAGCCACCAGGCCACAGCGACAGTTATGTTAAGTTACAGGCGGGGCCTCCTTTATACTATAGTAGCCACGCTGGGCCGGCGGCCGAGTCCAGCACTGCTGCGTGCCCTGAACATTTTGACTGTGACTTGAACAATAAAATACATATAAAAACAGAATTTTATTTTAAACCTGATCAATTTCATGAAAAAATGACATAATTTATTAAACAAAAAGGAAAATTTGCACATGAAAAAAAAACTTCAGCCGGATTACCGCTTTAGACAGGAACTCATACCTAATGTCGATCTTGAAGCAGTTGTCAGCACCGTCATGGCAAAAGTTCCCACATAGCTTACAAGACAATTCCTGATGAGAAGAAAAAAGAAAAAAAACAGTTAACTGCTGATTCTTTTAGTCAAACAAATCTGCAAAAGCTCTATCATTTCACATGCTATCTGCACTTATACATACAAAAGCTTGTTTCATGAGAAAAACCAGTGAGTTTACTATACTGAAACAGAGTATATTTTTTAAAAAAGAAGGTTGAAGTTGGGATAATGTAACTGAAACAGAGTTCACTTCAAAAAAAAAGTTCAGCACCAGTGAGTTTACCTACCAGTACTAACTGAACGAACTCAATACCATTTTCACTTGCCACATCACATTAAATTCTCTCTAGTATTTATATATCAGAAAGAATATTCTTTGTCAGATTTTCAATCATGTATACTCAAACAAAGAAAATCTGTAAAAAATTTCACACATGTATCTGTAAAAAATGCACATCTATCTATAATTTCCGGAGTTGTACCATGTGCCACAACTTTAAGAAATGAAAAACCTGTCTTAGTATGAAAAGTTTGAAGAATTCATTCACTAGGTATCCCTATCACAAAAAAGAAAAAGAAAAATGTGATTCCTCATTGAACAAAAAAAAGTTTCAGACATTCCCACCTAGCAAAAAAAGGTTTTCAAACAAATAAATAAATAAAACATGTGAAAGCACTATCAGCATCTCCTCACTACTGGAAAATACCCTATTCCCTTAAAAAGAACTACACATGCCCCTACAAACAGACACAAAAAATTCAGACACCTATGTCTGAAAAAAGAAGCATGGCAAATGTATGCCACTGAAAAATCTTGATCCACTCGCATTATGCCTTCTTAAATTTCAGAGGTAAAAAATGGAAGGCATCTTTGTCTCCTGTCTATATGCAATATGAGCTAGAAGTACATGTATGTACAGACTCTAAATTACAAAACTGAGTGCTAGCTGCTACATTCAGATTTACACACACACAAAAAAAAACAGACTCTAGATTGCAAACTGGGTGCTATCTGCTACATACAGTTTCACAAACAGGGATCTAAAAGATGAACATATACTATTCGCCATAACAAGGGAGGATCTGTAACTTGTTACTATTCACCAGCTATATATAGATGCACAAACTATATGTAGATGCACAACTATGGCCATGTGCATGAACATAACAGGGGAGCATCTGTACCTAGTTGCTATTCAGCAGCTCCGTATACGAGCGTGTGTTCAGACATTCCACAAACAAAAACATTTCGTTTCACTCTTAAAAAAAACGTGTGCATTTGACATTCAAAAACGAATCTAATAGACAACTAAAACAGCAACCTCCTCATGGAGACAACTAAAAAGATGAGCATATAGATACTATTCAAAATAACAGCAGGCTCTGAATCTAGATACAGAGCAGCATCTGTACCTAGGGGCACAATCAAAAAACATTTAATTTCGCTCTAAAAAATAAGTGATTCAGGGCACGCAGCAGTGCTGGGCTCGGCCGCCGGCCCAGCGTGGCTACTTTAGTATAAAGGAGGACCCGCCTGTAACTTAACATAACTGTCGCTGTGGCCGGGTGGCTACTTTAGTATAAAGGAGGACCCGCCTGTAACTTAACATAACTGTCGCTGTGCCCGCGTGCCGCCGGTCGCAGGTTCGAAACCTGGCGCGCGCGATTTTTCGTTTACTTTATTTATTTGTCCAGTTCGTTGAAAACTTTCGAACAAGTCCGAGCAAAAAAAATTCTCTCACGGTTAACATTTTTTCCGCAAAAATAACGGGTATTTATGTGATTACGTATAAAGCAAGGGGGTTTTTTGCAAAAAATATGCCACGTCGGCACCTGACAGACGGGCCCCAACTGTCAGATACACTGTCAATACGTATAAATACGCGTTTTAGCCTGATTTGCAAAAATTTGAACAAATGTTGGTACTGACACGCAAAAATTAGCAATCGTGATACCAATCTGCATGTGATGCCCGAATTGTGGTACTTCTGTGCAATTAACTCTTGCTCCGAGTGGTAAATTTTGGCTGCAACGTTCTTTGAAGGGATTAGGACTATTTGTGTGCTTGGGGCATGTGCATTCGTAAGAACCTTCTTTGTTCTCGCAGTCTCCCTTGCAAGGATAGTGGTCAAGATGCTCACACTCATTTATATCTATATTATTTATCAAAATTAACCATCAGAACGCACCATTGACCTGACCATGCATTCAGTATGTCGAAAGAATAACTATTTTCCCATCCAAACTAGTGATGATTTCCTTGATTTCACAATGTTCAAAAGGGAGAAATAAATACCAGATAATTTAGAAGTCATGAAATACTTAATACTGTAAGGATTAGAAAGACATGAATACAAATAGAAGTTGTCTGGTTGAACCACAGGAAAAATATAAGAGGCCCTGACTAAGTTCACAGGAAAAACATAAGAGGCCCATCGTGCAAACAAGTTTTATTTATAGGAACAATTCATAAGGAATAGGTTCCTCCAATATTCCTATGGAATTTTTAGAACATAAGAGGCCCTGATTAAGTTCGCACAATTGAACGAAAAAGATACCACAAGCTGCATACTTTCTTGGGTGGGTTGGGGCAGGGGGTACAATGACTATGCTTTCCATCCATGTAACTGGAGCAACAGCATGGTGACTCTGCCAATATTTTACCACTGCATATGAATGCATAATAGCCAAACTTTGATAGTTTTGTCACTCTTTTGTAGCTAAATGAAAGTTTTTCTTATCATAAAAATATAAGACATTCAAACTACTTCATGTAGATGTTCCTACAGAGGTGAATAAATTATAGGTAAATAGATAGTTGCTAGCTATCGAACTGGTGCGTTAGCCAAATATCCCAAAAGTCCGAACTGATGGAAAGGACTAGGCAACATTTTTTAACACCCCCCTCACGTCTCTAGGCTGTGGACGTACATGAAGACCTTAGACGTGGGATCAAGATTAGATCACAACTATTTTTTTATATTAAATAGTTCATTGGCCAGGATTTAATCCTGAGGCCTTGTGGCTCTAATACCATATTGAACCGATGCGCTAGCCAAATTTGTCAAAAATCCGAACTGATGGAAAGGACTAGATACGTATTTTAACACTAGCAAAGTCTGCTACTTTGTAGTATTTATTTTGAAAACCTTAAAAACCTACTACGTTTTGTGGGATCTTTTCAAAACTTCTCGATATACTAACTTTATTAATGTCGTCAAGAACTTGGTGCAATATGATATTATTGAACTAGATGGTCTCACACTCCTAAATATACAAGTGACACTGCCAATATGTAGAACACGAACATTATATTATGTTCTCTTTGACAGTGTTAAGTTTTATAAACCAAATTTATATATGAAAAATTGGTTGTACAAACACCACATCATTTCCGAATAATAGAACATCTTGTTTCTAAAACAAAATATTCATAATTCTATGTAGTGCAAACATCATGTCGTTTCAAAATAAATTATACCGATGTATTTTCAGAAAGTGTACACACATATATAACAATCGGTATGTCTTGACAACCGTTTCTAAAGCGATAGTGTCCCCTAGATTCTCGGAACTGCACCTAAATAATTCAGTCATAATTGTACCGAGACATACTATATCACAGCTAGTGGTTTTCAATACTATACCTAAATAGATAATAATTAATATATCACCACAACTGTATCTAAACATTTCACATTCAATACATTACAATTGCAGCTAAACAACGTCGATACCAGCAAAATTGATACACCGAATATGAGCATATCATAACCTCATGAGAGGTGAACAATATATTAATTTCATGAACTATCTAGCGTGATCGTCCATCATCCGTCTACCTGGATGTCTGGATGACCCTCGTAATTATCCTTTTTTTAGGGGATGAATTAATGTTGATTAAGTTGATAAGGTTGCCTAAATTTAGAAGTAAAATATTATTTTGCCTAGACAAATCAAAACGAAAAAAGTCCATTTTACTACCCTGAATAAAGTGGGTGGTTCACTTTACCCCCGATCTATTTTTCCGCTTCTTTTACCCCCCAAACAAACCCAAACCGGACAAAACACCCCCTCGGCTGGTTTTTCTCCACCCGCTGTTGATGTGGCACTAGTCAATGGCGGTTTTGACCTGGGTGGGGCCCTCTCTCTCTCTCTCTCTCTCTCTCTCTCTCTCCAACCGAAGGGACGGGCAGAGCGCCTAAAGCGAGCGGAGGCTGTAGGCGTCGCCATGCCTCTGGCGACAGGGAAGTGGCCGGGCGAGGCGCGGCCATGCGCGGGCAAGCGCGCAGGCGAGCGCGCGTGGAGGAAAGGCCGAGCGCAGCGTCCACGGGGATGCGGTAGGGGCGGCGAGGGGCTGCGGGGCAGGACGGACGGCGGGCAATCTGAGCGGCGCGGCGAGGAGCGGGCAGCCGCGGGGGCTCAGGCACGGCCCGGCGTCGGCGCGTGAGGGGAAGGGGCGGACGGGCACCGGCTGACATGGGCAGTCGGCTGCGGTCAGCGACGTCGCGGGCTAGGCGATCGTGCGGACGGGGCGCAGCGGCGCGGCAGCACGACAGCAGAGGAGGTGCGCGCGCAAGGGAGGCCGGGGGGCTCGCAAGCAGCAGAGCAGCTCGGTAGGTGGAGGTGGCCGGCGAGCAGGCGAACGGGCGACGGCGGCAGCAGACGCAGAAGCAGCATCACCGTGCGTGGGAGGGGAGGAGGAGCAGGGGGGCCCCGCTAGGGCGAGTGCAGCAGCAGAGCAAGCGGGCGAGCAGGGCGCCTAGCGCGCGCCGCGAGCGCGGCAGTGCGACGGTGAGCGTGAGCGCGTTTGGGCGAGCATGTGAGTGTAGCGAGGCGTGGCAGATGCGCTAGGGGCGGTGGCAACAGCAGCTAGGGGCGGCGGCAACAATAGCAGGACGAGCAGCGCAGCAGTGGTTGTGAGGGCGAGCAGCGGCAAGGCGCAGTGGCGGAGCAGGACCCTGCGGAGAGAGAGAGAGAGAGAGACAGAGAGAGAGAGAGAGAGAGAGCCCTGACAAGGGGGCCCCACCCAGGTCAAAACCGTCGTTGACTAGTGCCACATCAGCAGCGGGTGGAGAAAAACCAGCCGGGGGGGGGGGTGTTCTGTCCGGTTTGGGTTTGTTTGGGGGGTAAAAGAAGCGGAAAAATAGATCAGGGGGTAAAGTGAACCACCCCCTTTATTCAGGATAGTAAAATGGACTTTTTTCAATCAAAACCAATGATTTTCCGCTGCCACCCAGTGATATAGTTCCACCATTTATGTTATTTCATTTTATAATTCTTCCATGTAAATATTTAATATTGCATACAACTTTCATTTGTACACACAAAATGAAAATATCTGGATTCATCAACTTTACTTATATTATAGATATACGTGTTGTGGAAAATCACAAATATGTCTAATTTACTTCATTCTACTCATCTAAATTATTATTTTCTGAACAAAATCAGATATTCTCTCTAATGCCTTGTATATCCTATTTCCTTTTTTCTACTCTTAGATCTTTCTCATGTTGATTGACATGTAGTTCTTTTACTAAGAGATCTAGATTGTTCTAGATAGTAAAAAATCCAGACATGTTTATTATGAAATGCTCTCTTATTGTTGTTACAGGAAAAACGTGTTGTACAAAATCACAAATGCTCGTACCTCTGATTTACGACCTTCTACTTATCCATATTAATGTTTAGACTTCCTTTAACAAATCACATATTCGATTTTGATACCTCAAATTTCCTATTTCCTTTCTAGAGTTTAAGATTATTTTTTCATGCTGATTGAGATGAAGGTCTTGTAATAGATGAGAGAAGAACAAAATTGTTATACCATAAATACTTAAGAGGCCAAATAAAAAACTTC